ATGGGCCTGAGATCCTGTCTCGTCTCCACCTCCCTAGTGCTGTGATTAAAGGCGGGAGCCTCCCATGTGCTGGGATCATAGGAATGACCCTCACAAGTGCTGGCATCAAAGGCTTGAGCCACCACTGCTCCAGCTCTGTTTCTCTTTTAGACTGGTTCAATGTCATGTGTCCCAGCGTGCCCTTGAACTCCTGAACTTCCTGCTTCCTTCTCCCAATGCTGGGTTTAAAGGTGCGTGCCACCACTGTCTGCCCTCTGTGGTTAACTAGTGGCTAGCTCTGCCCTCTGGTCTCCAGGAAAGCTTTATTGTGAGAACACAAACAAAATATGACACCACAGGCTTAAGTCACTTCCCCAGCTCCACCCTCTGCAGCACACACAGCTCATCTTCTAGGCTCTGGCTGGCTCCACTCCACTGCTGCTGCTGTTCTTGGTGGTCACCCCATGGCACTGGCGTCTCCAAAACCCTGGGGTCTTCTGCTGCAGCTGGGCTGTGCTTCACCAGTAGCCTCTCACCGGATCTCCTTACAGTGCCAAGCTCAACTCCTCTGCACGACCCCTCCATCCTGCGTCTTCAACTGCCACTGAGGCTGCACCTGCACCAATGGCCTCTCCTGGCCTCTCCCAGTGCCAAGCCTCAGCTGCCCTCCATGACCCCTTCATGCCATTAAAATCAGTACTACCTGGATGATGCTTACACATGACCAAGGACAGCTGCCAGCACAACCTTGGCCACGTCCAGGAAACACCTCCCAGAAGATTTCACCTCAGTGATGCTGGTCCCTTCTTCTTCTTCTTCTTCTTCTTCTTCTTCTTCTTCTTCTTCTTCTTCTTCTTCTTCTTCTTCTTCTTCTTCTTCTTCTTCTTAATATTTTATTTATTGTTTACTCATTTTTATTTCATGTGCACAGGTGTTTTGCTTGCATGTATGTCTGTGTGAGGGTGTCAGATTCCCTAGAACTGGAGTTACAGACAGTGGTAAGCTGCCATGTGGGTGCTGGGAATTGAACCCAGGTCCTCTGGTAGAGCAGCCAGTGCTCTTTACCCCTGAGCCATCTCTTCAGCCCCCAGCTGGTCTCTTCTTAAACACTGCTAATTTCTTAGCTCCAGACGACCAGCATCAAGTATTCCAGCAAAGCAAAATTTTGCTTTAGTTGTCCTGGTATCTTGTTAATCACAGCTGATTCTTCAGCCCTAGCTAACCAGAACCACAGAATATTAACTCCTTTCTTCTATCCTTAACTCTAAAGCCAGAACCTCGTGGCCAAAGCTGCCAAGTTCTGCTGCTTCCTGGGGCTTGAAGATGACCCCCTTGTTTGATTACATCTTCACCAGCTTAATGTTCTATGTTTTCCTTCAGTGCCTAAGCTTGGTTGTCCTAGAACTTGCTCTTTAGACTAGGCTGGGCTTGAACTCACAGAGATTTACCTGCCTCTGCCTGCCTCAGCCTCGGGAGTGCTAGTATTAAAGGCATGTGCCATGGTGGCCTGAGACCATCACTCTCTTTTTTCCACTTCTTAATCCTTCTATCTCCTTGAACAGAGGATGTAGCTCCATTCCACTTCCTGGTGCCCCTTTTCCCCTCAAATATTTCTCCTTGGTCAGCTTGCTCCTTTCATTATATATCTTCATTAGAGTTTCCACTAATAACCACACGACAGAGTCTATACTTGGCTGTTTTGAAATTTCTTCTGCCAACAGAATTAATCCAAAACTCTTTTCTTTAGTCTCAGGCAGACTCTTTGGACCAAGGCAAAAGGCAGCCACTTCCTTAACCAAAGTATCGCAAGAATGATTTCTAGGCCACATACTAGAATTCTTCTCTGAAACCTCTTGACTGAGCCCCCCAGAGTTCAAATCACTCTTAGCACCACTGTCTTCCATGCTCCTACTGGTGTGGCCCATTACGCAGTGCTTAAAGCATTCCACTGTTTTCCAAACCCAAAGCACCAAAGTCCAAATTCCTCCAGACAAACACACAGTCAGGCCTATCAGAACAATACCCCATTACTGGTGCCAACTTCTGTCTTAGTTAGGGTTACTTTGCTGTGGAGAGACTCCATGACCACTGCAACTCTTATAAAGAAAACAGTTAATTGTGGTGGCTCTCCTACAGTTCAGAGGTTCAGGTCATGGAGGGGAGCATGGCATGCAAGCAGGCATGGTGCTGGAAAAACAGCCATGTGTCCTACAGCTTGACTCAGAGGCAACAGGAAGTTAACTGACACACTGGGTGGTATCCTGAGCATAGGAAACCTCAAAGCCTGCCCCCACAGTGACACACTTCCTCCAACAAGGACACACCCACTCCAACAAAGCCACACCTCCTAGTAGTGCCACTCCCGGTGAGATTATGGGACTAAAGGGATTTTGGGGGCCAATTACATTTAAACTACCACAGCCACTCTGTAGGTGGAATCCTGAACTGAATAAAATACGAGAGGGCAAGCATATCACCAACCTTCATTTCTCTCTGCTTTGTGCAGAAGTCATTCGGCCAGGCAACTCATGCTTTTGCTGTCATGAGGGGCAAAACCTCACGACCCTCAGATTCTGAGCTGGAACCAACCCTTCATCCTTAACCACAAGAACAGTTGTATCCCTGAAGTTCTTGTGTCAGGGAGACGAAAGTGATTTCCGCCTAGCTGAGAGGGACCTGACCCCGGAAGCAGGGTCAGGCCCGTGCCTGGTGCAGGAACCAATGGCAAAACTCTACACAGTGCTTGAGGAGTTTGCTGAGTTCCATTTTGCTGGGAAAGTAGGCAGGGAAAACTGCCTGGTGTCAATGAGAAGCAGTCCTGGTTGTGAGAAGTCAAGATGGCTACAGTCATGTCAAGCTAAATAGAGCTGGGGAAGGGCTATCCAAGGCATCCTTTCAGCAGTGGTGGGAGTTTCTTTCCTTCTCGGGCATTCCCAGACCCCATCCCCTCCGTTTCCAGTTTTGTTTATGTCCTGTTTAGTTTTTTTTTTTTTAAATCAGCGTAACACAAGTTATCAGGGAGGAGGAACCTCACTTGAGAAAAACGCTGCCATCAGATTGCCTGTAAGGAAGTGGTTCTCAACCTGTGGGTCACGACCCTGTTGGGGTTGGCCTACCCTTCACAGGGGTCACATATTAGATATCCCGCATATCACATATTTATATCATGATTTATAACAGTAGCAAAACTATAGTTATGAAGTAGCAAAGAAGTGATTTTATGGTTTGGGGTCAGCACAACAAGAACAACTGTATTAAAGAGTTGCAGCATTAGGAAAGCTGAGAACCACGGCTGTAGGGCATTTTCTTGAGTAGTGATTGGTATGGGAGGGCCCAGGCAGTGTCCTCGCTGGGCAGATGATGCTGGGTGGTGTAAGAAAGCAGGCTGTGCCAGTTACGGGAAGCAAGGCAGTAAGCAGTGGTCCTCCATGGCCTCTGCTTCATTTCTGCCTCCAGGTTCCTTCATGATCGGCCGTAAACTCTGAGTCGTGAAATCCCTTTCCTCCACAAGTTTCGTTTAGTCATGGTGTTTATCACAGCAATAAGCAGAAAACTAGGATGGATTATGTTTGTAACACGAATCTTAAAAGGTCTTATTAAAAAAAACTCAGGAGCTAGACATTGGGGTGAACACTGAAAGGTCAGAGAAATACAGCAGGTCACAGCTAACCTCACCTTGCCAACTGATCCTGTTTCCTTAGACTGAAAACCTCCGAGTCCTCACCCGAATGGATCTCAGCTGAACTGCTGCTAAAAGCCTAAAATCTTAACCAGCTTTGGTTCCTGGTTTTCATGCCTTATATACCTTTCTGCTTTCTGCCATCACTTCCTGGGATTAAAGGCATGAGTCACCATGCCTGGCTGTTTCCAGTGTGGCTTTGAACTCACAGAGATCTGGATGGATCTCTGCCTCAAGAATGCTAGGATTAAAGGCGTGTGTGCCACCATTTTCTGGCCTCTATGTCTATCTAGTGGCTGTTCTGTCCTTTGACCCCAGATAAATTTATTAGGATGCACAATTTATTGGGGGACAAAATATCACCACAATGTTTGAGGTCAGAATTCACATTTAGGGTTCCCCACTCCCCAGTCCAGACAATATTTCTCTGGGAAGGAGACTGGTGTCTTCTTGTGTAGCTGGAGTTTTCCTGCCCTGCCCACAGTCAGGACAAATCTTTGTCACCCGCCAGTCCCACAGCCGCTCAGACCCAACCAAGTAAACACAGAGACTTATATTGCTTACAAACTGTATGGCCGTGGCAGGCTTCTTGCTAACTGTTCTTATAGCTTAAATTAATCCATTCCCATAAATCTATACCTTGCCACGTGGCTTACCGGCATCTTTACATTCTGCTTGTCCTGGTGGTGGCTGGCAATGACCCCTTCTGCCTTCCTGTTCTCTCTTTTCTCCTCTCTGTTAGTCCCACCTATACTTCCTGCCTAGCCACTAGTCAGTATTTTATTTATTCACCAATCAGAGCAACACATTTGCCATACAGAGCATCCCTCAGCATTCTTGCCCGATCCTTTGGCTTTTTCCTGTGGTCCTGCAGGGAATGATAGAGTCAGTTTGCTGAGTACTGCAGTCGATGAAGAAAAGTAGGTTAAGGGGGGAATTTTGCTGTAAAAGTGTCTCTAGTCCAAGTGTACATTCCCAGTGGCAGTCTACCTGTGTTCAGATGTGCCTTGTAGCACACAAGGAGACTGAGCCTGGTCCTTGACTGGTAAGGCCTCTGAGTCATTTGGCACTGATGGATCTGATATGTGCTCAGGAGGGCAGAGGGGAGTGGACCAATTAGGGAGGTGTTGCTAAGTGGGAGGTGCCAAAGGACATTTGTTTATCAGCACAGAAAACTAACCAGAGAAGTGGAGCAGGATCTAAAACAGAAGAAGAATGTTCTAGAAAAGAGTGACCAGAGAGGAACACTAGGCATCCTTGCCAGAAGCCTGAAGGACACCCTGCCTAGCACTGACCTTTGTGTTTGTATTTCTCCTGTCTAAAATCTGGCCAGGTTCATTTTTTTCTGAGAGAGTCTGGTTTGTCCTTTGCAAGCCATGTGGCTCTACCTGGTGGTTCTCCTGGGCCTGTGGAACCTCCTGCGCTTGTTCAGGGAGAGGCAGGTGGTGAGCCATCTCCAAGACAAGCATGTCTTCATCACGGGCTGTGACTCGGGCTTTGTGAACCTGCTGGCCAGACAGCTGGACAGGAGAGGCATGAGGGTGCTGGCTGCATGTCTGACAGAAAGTGGAGCTGAGGAGCTGAGGAGCAAGACATCAGACAGGCTGGAGACGGTGATCCTCGATGTCACCAAGACAGAGAGTGTTGTGGCAGCCACTCAGTGGGTGAAGGAGCGTGTTGGCAACAGAGGTACCATTGAGATTCCTGTGTGTGTCTGCTGGTTTGTGTCTCTGTGTGAAGGGGTCTCCCCTTCATATTCCCTGACAAGATTCCTGAAGGGGATTGGGGGACTTGAAGTACCAGCAGCCTCCTGCCCTCCCCTGAACATCACCTGATGTTTCTCCAGCCCCTACCTGCTGTCTCCCAAGCTCTCTGGTCTTGGTAAGAAGGTGCTTTGGGGAGGATTCACCTCATCACCTTCCTGTTTGTGCTCTGTCATCTTTTCTATGCAGAAAACCTAGACTGCTGGATGCTGGGTGCCAGCTTAGAGCAGGGTCCCTTTCCAGAGGAGAGGATGGACTTGGCCCTGGGCTGTGTGCAGGGTGTCTGGGGCCGTGCTGGAGTGGATCTACTTATCACCTGCCATCCTCTGTGGAGGGAGACAAGATGGTTCCTGTGTGCAGAGCAGGCCATGACGAGCTTAGGGACTGACTGGGAAAGTGAGATACCAGGAAGGGTAACCTTTCTTTCATCAAGCTGGTGGTGTTAACTCATGGGCCAGAAGAGCAACCTGGGTTTATAAGAAACCTGAGAACAATCTGAAAACATGGTGATGGTTCAAACAGTGGAACGTGTAAAGCCACAACAATTAGCCTGTAATTCAGCACCCAGTGGATAAAAAACTATCAATATTTTAATCTGTATGCATTAAAATAAATGCATTCTTTTCACTTAAAATAGTTGAGCAATTTTTACCTCCTCATTTCTTTGATAATTTTATTTTTGGGACATCGTTTCTCTGTTTCTTGACTGTTCTGGGACTTGATCCGTAGACCAAGCTGGCCTCCAACTCAGAGGTCAGCCCTCTTCTGTTTCCCAGCTGCTGGGATTAAATGTATGTGCCACCACTGCCCGGTTTGCATGGTAATATTTAATGAGGTAGAGAAACTTAACCATTTACAAAAGCCCACTCATGTACCCATATCCTGGGAGCAGAAGCTGGGAAAGTTTGGTACATTTGTGTTTGTTTTAGCTTGGGTTGTTGTGATAGGATCTTGATCCGGAGCTGGCCTTGAACTCAGGATCTTTCTGCCTCAGCTCCTCTTGTACTAGGATTGCATGTGTGTGCACCATCCACATCTTGTTTCGTACCTTTATAATCATTAGCACTATTCTTTCTGGTAATCAGCTTTCCATAGCTTGGGTTGGCGTTCTAACAATCAGATACCTCAGTTAAGCAGTTTGCATTCTTCAGAAGGGCAAGGTGTGGGTTTGGACTGAGGTGACACGTGGCTTTTGGGGCGAGTCCTTCATAACCAGCAAGCACCACGGCAGCCTTAGCTCAAGCAGCCCCCTGCTGAGCAGGCGCGGCGGTTGGGAGACGTGCTGTTGAGGTGTATGGCACTGACGGGGTGGTGGCCTGAAGATCTGTGGCGGTGACTAAAAGAGGCAGGTGGCGGTGTCCTGTGGATGAGTGTCAAGAGAGGGCTCTGTTTTCTGGGGCAGAGTGTGGAGCCACGCTGTAGCGCTGCCTGCTCCGGCCGGTTCTCCTTGTGTTGGGTAAGCACCTCAGGGAAATTGCTCAGCATTGATGCCGGACGTGCCAAGGCATGTAGGCCAGAAGACACCCTCGGATGCGGGTGCTGTCTATGTTGTTTTTTTTCTTTGTATGGCTTTTGTTTGCTTGGTTTTAAAAAGCAGATCTCCCCACTGGGGTTCACAGATGTGTCGAGGATATGGGCTCCTGTCTAGGCATCTCCAGTGGCAGGAGTACCATCAAGCCACCACTGTAAGCTTTTTATGTGGCTTGTGGCGCTCCAGTGCAGGAGTTCATGCTTGGGAGGCAAGTACTACACACCCTGAGCTGTCTCCCAGTAGCCTTTCACCTGTCTTCCTTTGCCACTTGAAAGACAAAGGTAGCAGTGTGTAAACTGCTCAGAGATACCTGAAAATACAAAGGAAAGAGTAGAATATCTTCAAGGATGGGGATATTGTGTAAACACAATCATAGTTTCATGGTCTCTGGATAAACAGAGGCACACCATGTCTTCAAAATCTTAAAATCAGCAAGTGACAGTGACCGCTTCTTGCTTCCCAGGCAGGGATCTGGGCCATGAAGACCTAAAGGAGGGTGGTGTCACGTTGTGAGCCTAGAGCCTCTGGCATGGGTCCCCAGCCCTGGTGAGGTCATGCTGGTCCTCATTGCATCTACTCTCCAGTACACATATGTCCAAGTGGTCTTACCTTGTTGAATGTGCATTTCACCATAACTATACCTGTGCTGGGTGACTCTCTTTTCTTCCCACTCTCCCCAGGACTCTGGGGTCTGGTCAACAACGCTGGTATCTCCACCCCCTCGGGTCCCAATGAGTGGCTGACCAAGCAGGACTTTGCAAAGGTGCTGGATGTGAACCTGTTGGGCATGATCGAGGTGACCCTGAGCATGCTGCCCTTAGTGAGGAAGGCAAGAGGCCGTGTGGTCAACGTCTCCAGCGTCATGGGCCGAGTGTCTTTCTTTGGTGGTGGTTACTGCATCTCCAAGCATGGTGTAGAGGCCTTCTCGGACTCCCTCAGGTATTGGACAGGGATGTGGGTCTGTGAGGGAAGCATTGGCATTGGGTTTTGTTTGATCATGGCCTTTATTATCCCATCATGGAGAGGACACTCTCTGGTTTTGGGGTTCTCTCCCTGTCTCCTTATTGGAGGTAGGTGATCATTCCCTGGGAACACATTTTCATGACTCCAGTAAGGGCAGCCTGAGACAGGGGCTAAGTTCATCTTTTCTTTGTTTTAGACAGGGCCTCACTATGTACCCTTGGCTGTCCTGGAATTCACTATGTAGACCAGGCTGGCCTCAAACTCATACAGATCTATTTCCTGAGTGCTGGAATTAAAGGAATGTGTCAGGATGAAAGCTGTTTGCCACCATCCTGTCAAGTTCAGTAAAGAGTATCCTGCTTGGGGCTGGAGAGCTAGCTCAGCAGTTAAGAGCACTGACTGCTATCCTAGAGGACCCAGGTTTCAATTCCCAAAACCTACATGGCAGCTAACATCTGTCTGTATGTAGCTCCAAGATCTGACATCCTCACACAGATATACATGCAGGCAAAACATAATGCACACAAAAAATAGTAACTGTTAACTTCGTTGTTAACTGTTTTTTATTATCTACAGTGGCTGCCCCCTAAGCAATGGGCTTCCACCACATGGGCCACAGTCTGAGGGGACTCTGTTCCCTCAGGCACCGACTCTTTCAAAGCTACCGAGGGAAACTTTATCTACATCTACAGAACTCACAATTTGAGGTTGAGGTGGAATTCTGCTTGCTCAGAGGAGAGGCTGAATAGCAAGTAGCTAACCTTCTCCCTTTGCTGGTGTCTTCCAAAGAACCCACTGTCCCCTCAGCTCCCACTTAATAAATCTTTGCTTCATGTGGCTCCTCCTTACCACTTCCTGTCAGCTGCTTGCTGACTCAGTCTCCTGTCAGAGGTCAATTTTATTTAATCAAACACATCTTTGAATTGTTAACAAAAGGAGTAGGGAAAAATGAAACATACTTTATGATAATATTTCACCCATTTTTTCTAAACAAAACAAAAGGTTTTAATTTTAACATAGTAAGACTGTATACAGTAAGAACAATTATTAAGTAAGGATTACATTCACAAGGTACTGAATTCCAATTTATTTATGACTGGTAAATTTAAAGAAAATATTCCATAATCTATCCTATCTCAATGAATACAAAATTATATACCTAATTTACTTTCTATCATATCTAAGGAAAACTGAAACTATAACTGTCTAGTCTTCAACTCCATCAAAGACCTGGGAAGGATGTAATATTATATTAGCAAACAAAAAGTGCGTTGCCAACAACTTCCAGAAATTCTAGAAATGACAAAGACACCTTACTGCCTAGACAGTCACCCAAAGTTCCTCTGCAACATTGGGGCATCCATCTTCAGACTCTAGGCCTAGAACATATGGCAGACTTTTCTGTGAAGTAGGAAATTTGAAAGATGGTCCTGACTATATTGGCAAAGTTTGTCAGTCACTTTCCTGTGTGGCAGTTTCTTCTGTGAAGCAGGAACCCTGAAGGACCATCTTGCCTTGTTTTGACAAAGTTCAGTTGTTACTTTCCTGTGGGTCCTGCATGTCCAGTTTATACAACATGCAGTCAAGCAGTCCAGGCAAGAGCAGCTTCTTGCCCAAATGGCTAGCCTTGCCACACTGAAAGCAAACTTCATAAGGAGTTTCTTCAATGCCCGTCATCTCTGATATAAATTGGTGCTTCCAGGAGCAGGTGTGTCTCATTGTTATGAAAGCCCTAAGTTAACAAAACACTTTAAATGCCATATTCCTTAGGTCTTTGAAAGGTTTGAAGACCATCCAGCTATGTAAAAATGCATCTCTGTATGATCTAGAAAGCGTACCTAACATATCTACAATTTCAGTTGTTATAAATGACTAACCACTGACCTATGTTTCTTGGTTATCCTATATAGTTTATAATAATAGCTTTCAAAAACTAGAACTTCACCCTAAATTTCCAAATGAACTGCATAGGCACAATACCTCAAAAAAAAGTAGAAACATATATACAATATGTTTCAAAAATAACAAAAAAGTAACAAAAAGTAACAAAAATAACCTTAAATTTTTAATCAATATACAAAAATTCCCCAAGCAAGAACAGAAACATCAGTGTGTTGCAACAAAAATTACCTTAAATATGTGTCAATATACAAAAGTCCTTACAAATAAAAAATATTTGCTATCAAAAAGTGGTCCTTAGTTTATAGTAGATTCAATAATCTACCCTATTATTTAAAGTAGATTCAATAATCCACCGTTCTGTCTTATCACTCCTATATCTCCCCTCCTTTTTTTCAAAGAGATCCCTGAATATAATATCATTTGTATAATTTCCTCCCTTGTCAATACCAGTAACAATTAATAAACAACCCCCATTAATAACAACCATCTGTAACCCACTAAATGACCAAATACCGTTCTCTCCATATCTTAGGAATATGGGTGTCACGTCCCCAATATTATTTCCTGTTGCCTTGGGGTGATGACACCCTGAGAAAACTGAAATACTGGCCAAGTCCTGAGAAAACCAGCTGCAACATTCGTTGTCCAGTTTCTGTGTAATGGGAAAGTGCAGAGAGTATCTGAAATCCTGGCTAAACTATCCTATAAGGCTGGACCCTCTCTGCAAGCAACTTTGGAGTTTTCCTGAGCAGTTTGCAGTGTGGTACTGACTTTGGGTGGTACTTGTTCCCTTAATGGCATCACCACAACCCCTATAGAATCTAATCTTTTTTTAAAACTTATTTATTTATTTATTTTGGTTTGTTGAGACAGGGTTTCTCTGTGTAGCTTTGCACCTTTCCTGGATCTCGCTCTGTAGCCCAGGCTGGCCTTGAACTCACAGAGATCCGCCTGGCTCTGCCTCCCGAGTGCTGGGGTTAAAGGCGTGCGCCACCACCGCCCGGCTTAAACTTATTTATTTTATGTGCATTGGTGTGAAGGTGTCAGATTCTAATCTTCTACCATCCCTATAGAATCCAATCTTCTATTAGAGACCTCAAGGATCACTGCTATGACTGGTTATTGTTCACTGTTGAAAACTTAAACATTTTAAATGTCATACACAGAATAGTCTTATAAATTTAGAGCTAATAGTTATGTCTAT